CAGAATGAGAATTTTATGAAGCAACCCCTGAATTCCACTGACGCTTTGCCTACAAGAAGGGGAGTTGAATGAAAGAACTACACAGAGGAATGAAATTGTACCCATCATATTTCTCTCATGATTTGCCTATAGTCTCTAGATGGTATCTTAGCTTTTAAAAACTCAGACTGGAAACATGGTGATGCTCTGTGTCTGTCTACTAAATACCTCAGTGATGCTGAACAAAGAACGAGGAGGTGCCTTCTAAAACCATCTGCATTTGAACATGACCCATTTCATTTGGGTGAAACTTGTTTTTCACTGCCAATATACATACAAGTAATCTCTGACGATGATGTAAATCATTACTTGGTAGTTTTACTGTAAATGTTGTCAGTTTTGCTAGGTAATAATCTATTAACCTTCCTTGATTAACACAAGAATGGGATAGCCCTTCATGTCCTTTGCTGATCTCCAGACACAGTGTCTAGAGGGAGTCCTTGCTTTGCATTTATAATGAATAGTACAAATGGGGCCATTTGACAGTTACTCTCTGGAGTCCTCCCTGGGCCCCAAGGTCTCATTATTCTGTTTTGAATAACATGTAGAGGTCACAGTAAGACCACACACCAAACCCTTTTATTCCTTGATAGAAATGGGGGAAACCTTCATTTTAAGGCAACTTATCCTTGGAGGTATACAGGGGGAGTTTGCCATCCGGTTCTTAATCAGTCACCTCTGTGAAAGTCAAAGTTAACAGACCAAAGTGAATATGGGTGAGCTTGCCTCTGTGATCTTCTTCAACCTCATCTCTTTTTTTCAGTCCCAAATAAGGTCATGCCTACAGAATATAGTGCTCACCGGATGCCTTCATGTCATTATGTCAGTAAGGCAGCTATGGAGGAGCAGGCTGAGAATGGAGAGAGCTGGGTTCACCTCCTGATCTTGAAGATTTTTGATGGTGTCACTTTGTCATTTGGTGTCAATTTGTCTGTTTCTCAGGTAGACATAATGCCTACTTTAGGGCAGATTTAAATGTTATACATGCACTGATAAGACAGTGGTGTCTGTCATTATTATTAATTTAATAGCCGATGGTTGGGAGAAAACATTACTGAGAACTCTTGAACTCAAGGATGGTGTTTATCTAACTTGGGCAGCTTATTAAAATACAGATTCTAGACATTAGCCCCGAGAGTCAGATTCAGCAGGAGCGAGGATAAGAATTTACATTTTGAACATGAGCTCCAGGTGATTCAGATGCAGGTGGTTCATGATCCATACTTGGGGTAAAATGTCATGTGGAGTGAAATGAGCAGCAAGCAGGCTTAGCAAATATTTGTTGATTCATTGATTAATTCATTGGGGACTCCAGCTTTCACCTGTAGAGAAGTTTGAATGTAGACGTCCCTGAAGTAATCAAGAAATCTCTCATTCTATTTAATTGCATCCTTGCCTGGAATAACCAAAGCCCACACCTCCTAGTAAAAATGAGAGCAAGCCATCAGCAGCCCTGTCAGGAAGACTCTTTAGATATTAGCAGAGAATAGTTATGTCATCTCTTAGTTATCTCACCTTTTCACAAAACAACTCTTCTATTTGCTGTAATTTGAAATCTCTGCTAAGAATAAATAAATTTTATTTAATGAATAAAACCCCCATAAAACAGAAATGGGAATCAAAGCATATCAATATTCACTGGGACCTAGAGGTCTTGTGATACATTGGTGACATAATGAAGATTTAAACCTCATATTTTCAGACTTCCATGTCAGTATTTTGCTGCTTTGTGACGTGTATTATAATTCATGTTGTATTGATTGAACCCTTACCCTTTTCCTGATACTGTGGTGAGCACTGTAGGGAGTGGAAAGTTTCCTTAAACTACATGCCCAGTCCCATTATTATAGCAACTCACTGACTGGTTGAGAGTAATATAAACTAAAAGCCAGTATATGGACATCAAAACTGAAATGAGTATTATTGTTTCTATTTTACTAAGGTGGAATTTGAGTCCTGTTGTAGGTAACTTGTGTAAGACATAACAACATCCAAAAAAGCTTAGATTTCAACTTAGCCTTTTAATTAATTTCATTAGTAAGTATTTATTGTAGCCTTACCTAATATGATATGCTACTATAGTGCTACACATCTGCTCCATAACCAGGAACAGGACTCTCTCCTACCCATACCATGTTAACCATGAAGTTAAAGAACCAGAACAGAACTGGTGCTCTATAGGATGTCTATTTCCTCTTTCTCCTTAAGCAAATGACCAGCTGGATTGCAATCACCCCAGGAATTCCAGGATGAAAAGGTTAGATCCATTAAGCTTAGGTGAGGAAAATCTTTGTTTCTCTACAAGGTGAAGCCATAGTCTATGGAAATTTAAACCGATCTTACTCATCTCTTGAGAAGCATAGCCACCAAGGACACCCCTACGCCAAAGATGGATAGCCTGTCTGGGGCTGTAATTAAATTTGCCACAATTATGTTCCCAGCAGTCAAATGCTAGGGCTGCGAAGGAAAGAAACACATGCCTGTTGCCCCCACCCACCTTAAATGTTGAATTATCTTACAGTTGATAGTTCTCTAGATTCCTCGACCTTTAAATGCCGAACACTACATGCCTGTTGAATTTTAATCAATTTATTTTTTTCAGCTGGAAATGTCAGACTTCTGTATGGAATTACTCGGCACTGCTGATGTGACAAAGATTCAAAGTTCAGTGTCTGAAGTCAAGGAATAGCAGCAGAGCCAGTATGCAGTAGGAAACATAATTTGCAGGCAGCCAAATAAGGAAGTAAGAGAACATCTATTTTTCATTAGCTTTCACTTAGAGGTTGGGAGACCCGAATTCATTCCATTTTCTAATCTCCAGACTGAACAGAAATAGTCAGAAGAGCTAATGATTTAAGCAATGTTGTTAAGAAAGCTAGAAAGGAATAATGAGGTCTTATGTACAAAATGCCTACTGTGTGTCTTAAAATGTGATTTCTTAACTCTTTTAACATGTGTACTTGGTACAAAGTAATGGGTTTCATAAAGACATTTTTTTCCACTGAAGAGTATCGTTTCATGTACTCTGACCATAACCAACAACCCCTACTCTTGTCTTTCCTTCTAGTAATTTCCTTCCTGTGTCAAATAGTCATCCTGCTCTGTGTGTGTGTGCATGTGTGTATGTATCACATACACACATACATATATATACACACACACATATATATATAACATATATAAACAGCATATATATGTGCCACACATAACACATATAAATAATATATGTATGTGTGAATATATGATAAATAAGGCCGTATACATGTGTTTATATATATAGATAGATATAGATATATATACATATATATGTGTGTGTGTGTGTGTGTGTGTCTAGGATGAATGTATGAGAGAAGACATATTTGCCTTTCTGAGTTGGACAGATTTCATTTAACATGATGATCTGCAGCTCTATCCCATCTCCTTAAAGTGATATAATTATATTCTTCTCTGTGTCAGAAAAAATCCCATAGAGTATAATTATAATGTTTTCTTTGTCTGTTTTTGTGTTGATAGATACATTAACTGGCTCCACAATTTGACTATCAAGAACAATACTGCAGTGAATTCCACTCCTCACTTAAATTATATTACATAATAAAGGAGACGATTCAATTGCCTCTCCTACAAAATAGGAAGCCCTATGACGTCTGCAGAGCATGAGGAGGTACAGCTTTTAGCCATGAACTTGGCACTAAAACTCATGTTCTTGTCATAGCCCCAACTTTCCAGAAGTAAACCACCATCCCTCTACTTAGTTTTTCGTATGAAAATCAGGCTCAAGCACGTTTAGGTGAACACAACTGGCTGGTTCTGATATGGAACTTCTACCTGCTTGTGGCTTAACTCACCTGGGGATTTCATGTATGTGTATTTTTTTATTGTGACAAATAATTTCTATAGTGCTGATGGTCTGCTAAACAGAAAAAAATAAACAAAATAGCCCTGGAACGGAACAAAAGGGAAAACACAAAACCTGTCTGGCTATTAGTCTGACCACTGGGAAGGGTTCTGTGCAAATAAAACAGGCCCAATAGATATTTGTTGAAATTTTCTCTCTTTGCAGTTTTCTTTCCCCCTATCTCCTTTACATAGTCTTTCTTAGCCTCCCTAGCTTCACTCTGCTCCGTGTGAGCATTTATCACTAGATTCAAAGAATGGTAAAGCAATCTTAGAAAGTTGTACGTCTCCTCCCTTCACCGAAAACCATTTCTGCCTTCCTGGCTGTCTGAAGTGAGCTAACATTTAAGCTACTGCACAGGCCCCACGGTGATAATGGAGAGGTTGGGCTCCATAGTCATCAATTAAGTTTACCTGGTCAGAAAAGGTTCAGTTAAGTTCACAGGCCCAAACTTCCCATACCTGTCCATGTTCCCACTTCCTGTCTGTGGAACAACCTGCCTGAAAGGCTTAACAGACAATACATCCCAAAGCAGGAGCTAAGTTATCTACCTACGGATGTGTCTGTATCTTGGCTGTACTGACCCACAGAGGTAGGGCCTTACTTAAGCAGCTCACAACAGACTAAGAACCATCAGTCACCCTTGCCACTCTCCCCTGGGGTAAGGAACCAGCAGGTGCTTACCACCACCTCTCTTCTAAGTTCTCCTGTTGCCATTACTCTACTTCTTACCCTCATCAGGTAGGGAGCTCAAGCAAACAGTACAAGTGTGAGTGCTGCCTTAGCTTCAGTAGACAGTGCCCAACAGAAAGCTAAACCTGCATCACTCTTCTTTAAATATTCCAAAGGGATTCTAAGATCCTTAGCTATATAGGTGCAACCTGCTTCAAATGTTCAAAAACTAGTGTGTGGCTGTGTAAATCTGCCTTCTTTAGTTATGAAATTCTCTGTAATTTGTGTTTTCTAATCTCTGGTCTTTTTTACATGCTATTCTTACTACATACAATGCTAGGCAATCTAGCCTCAACTCTCTACATTCTCAAATTTTACCTTTTCTAGGAAGGTTCTCTCAAGCTGTGGCTGGTCATTCATCTCCTTTGAGTTCCTGTGGCATGCTTTAAGAATTTGAATCAAATGTGAGTACCTTGTAGACAGTGAGTTCCTTAAATTTCTTAACATTTTCATTCATCTTTTCACATGTCATATCCCCAGGACTAAGAATCAATAAACATTTCTTTAATGAACTGATAGAGTGAATGAATGAACAATGAGCAAATAAAGAGAGAGTGTGGTATGCTGGAAGTGTATGGCTCTGGGGGACAGGTTGGAAACTTTGACTTACTGTCTGGAAAAAAAGTTGGATGGTTAAAGAAAATGAGTCTCAGAGCCTGGGCCCGTGGCTTGATTTCTCTGTAGTCGTGTTTCTCAAGGTGGGGAGCTCATAAATATCACCATTCCACCTCTGGTAAATTATCATCATTCCAGGGCACACAAAAAGCATGAGAATCAATACTTCTAGAGGAAAACCCCAGGGATGTGCACTGTTACAATCAGCAGTACCTGGGAAACAAAGTACAATCACTGTTACCACTTTTATATCTTCAGCAACAACCTTCTTAGAGTCTTAAAATACTTCAGGCTGCTGGGATCACACTCAGCTGAGATTAAAATTAATATACAAAAGGAAGACACTTTTTATTATTTTCCTTAGACTGCTTTTCTAGTAAATGCATGAGGACTCAAGACAATGATTAAAAATGTATATCCACAGCTGGGAATGGTGTCCTATGCCTGTGATCTTAGCAATCAGGAGGCAGAAGCAGGTGGATCTTTGTGAATTCAAGGCCAGTCAGGGTTACATAGTGAGATTCTCTCTCTCTCTCTCTCTCTCTCTCTCTCTCTCTATATATATATATATATATATATATATATATATATATATATATATATAGTTTCCTTAGTATCTTATTAAAAATCTTATTTCCATAGTGGCTAGGAATTTGTCTGTTTCTCTGTCATCAGAATTCACAGCAGAGCCTAACACACAGGTGTTTCCTAAATATATTTGGAAATAAGGTGAGAGTAATCATTTCCCAGCACTCGCACACAAAGAACTGGCTCCATTCTGAAATGTCAATAGTTTCTTCTACCTCGGGCAGTACTAACAAATAGCAGCCTGGAGGAGCCATGCAGAGGTCACAGGAAGGTCTGTTCACCTCAAAACATCCAACCTGAAATTTTAGCAAGGTGCTTAGGGTTCTAAGACCATGCATTTTCTAATTAGCCATTTCATCAAGTTTTCCAAGCAAATGATTTGCTTTCCGCTTCTGTATCCAAAGAAGGTAAGTGTTCAGATGGCCATTCATTAGAAGAGGGTCCTAGGGATCTTGCTATTGAAAACCCAAAAAGTAATCTTAAATTTCTCTTTGTAAAATCTCAACTGAAGGAGAAGCTGAAATAACTTTTGTAATTAGCTGGTATATAGATGAAAACAGTAGTACAAACAGTAGTAAATTTGAAAAAAAATATAATATGTATCTTTGTTTATACAACTCAGGGAGCAATATTATGATAATAAACTGATTAAATCAGGAGTTATTTGCCAGTTTTCTACTAATAAAAAATAATTAAGTCAGGACAGGAAAAATGGCTCAGCAGTGAAATGCTCTGGCTGTTCCTCCAGGGGACCCAGGTTCAAGTCCCAACATTCACATGGCAGCTCATAACTGTTCCTGCAGTCCCCAGGCTCCAGGCTCTGTTGGCCTTCCAAGGCACCAGGCAGGCACTTGGTGCACAGAAGAAATGTAGACAAAAATCCATACATATCAGTAAATACATATTTAAAAATAAATAAAAAAATGATGTGAAAATATTCTTTGTTAAATTAGGAGGCAAGCTAAAGACTACCTACCAAGTGACCAAGGCCAAATAAACAAACAAATAAATAAATAAATAGCAAAAAAGGTTTAGTAAGTAAATATAAGCAAAGGAATTAGAGCTAAGAAATACTGAACATGTAGTTCCATAGTACTCTGGGAAACATAATTTAAAAATAATTTTAAATAAAAAAGACTTTTGTTTTCCCAGCAGTAGAAGAGTGTTCCCCTTAGAATAAGTCTTCCTCAAGACCCAGCTATACCACTCTTGGGCATATACCCAAGGAATGTTCAATCTTAGCACAAGGACACATGCTCAACTATGTTCATAACAGCATTATTCGTAATAGCAAGAACCTGGAAACAACCTAGATGCCCCTCAACTGAAGAATGGATAAAGAAAATGTGGCACATATACACAATGGAGTACTACTCAGCAGTATAAAACTTACAGCTACATGCTGTTAAAACCCTAAAGCAAATTGCTGTGGAGGGGAGGCCATATGAGATGATCTCCAACTGTGAGAAAAATCTTCATTTCTCAATAAAAGACAAATCATGCTGCAAATATAAGCAATCTCAACATCTCAATAGTTTAGCAAAATTCAGATATGACTCAGACATTAAATTCCAAGTGGCCAGCTAAAGTTACTGGCCTCCAGATGGTGACATGGGTGTATTACTGAACAAGCATGGCTTCCATAGTCAACAGGGTAAGGAATATAGAGAGTCTCAGAAGTCAGTTTTATTCAGAAATGGCACCACCCCCTTTCACATTCCATTGGTCATCGCTAAACACATGATCCTGGCTCACTAGAAGGCAATAGGAAGAATGGTAATATCTCTGTGTGCTTGGGGATAGAAAGAGATGTGTACATACACAGAAACCTCAGTCATGTTATTTTGTCCCTTTTCTAAAGTGAAAAAGGTGATAAGTGGGCTGTCCATGGGTGAATGATAATTCCTGTGCTGAACCAACAGGACAATCATTAGCTTATGGATGTGCAAACTGAACTTATAAAGAGTATCCTGGAGTATTGCCACTGATACATGCATTTAAGGTCAGTACTTCTTAACATGAGAGAATGTTGAACAGAGTGTTCACTAGAACTCTAAGCAGTGGAAGCCTTCAAGAAATCACTCTGTACAACTTGGTCTGGGGTAATGAACCTGCCAAGATAATTGGAATCCCACATAGCAAAGAGCACAACCTTCTGACCCCGTTGGAGAACAGAATTGTGTGGCAGAAGGATGGAGCCTTTGAATCTTTACCTGGATCTACATGGCTTCAGGGTAGATAAAATCATACCAAATTACCTCAAAGCCATCCAGCTATTAAAAACTCTATGTAAGAAAGGACAGTGTTAAACTGAAATAAGTCTCCATGTAGATGCACTGAAATCCTGAGTGTGGAAAACAGCTCTGCTCTGGAGGTCATGGTTGGCGGGGGCACTGCTATGGGAAATTGTACCCAGGCTCACACTACACAAGCCAGGTAGTGTTTAGCTGCTATATAATGGGCTACATTCGCCAATAAGACATCAGTGTTCAAAGTACAGAACTTGTGAAATGGGCAAAATAACCAGAGGGATAATAAAACTGTTTTATAGGCTTAGAAAAATAGGAAGCATTGTTTCAAAATGAGTCATACCATACAATTTGTAGGTCTGCACAAGAAGAAAAATTTGTAACAGCTAGGGAGTTAATAAGAGAGCTAGATAAAAACTGTTCTCTTATATCTTGGGTATGATTTTATTTACAATGGTCTGTACTTGGTATAAAAAGTAAACTTCTGGCTGGGAAACAAGGTAGTCTACACATGACCTCCAGATACATTATTTTACTTTTGTCCCTCCATGCAATTGCTAAATTTATAGCGATTCCAAACACACACATAGTCTGAGTGTGCACTGACAGATGTCAGGCTCTATTTCCCCAGCTGACCTTAGAGTCCCAGACACCCAATCACATGGGCTTATATGAAACAATCTGGTTGTGGTTAAGGAAGAGTGAGTGCTATTGATGACCATGGCTCTAATGTTAAGGAAATATAAGGTGACTCTAGTATTTGGGTCTGAAACTCAGTGAAACACAAATAAGGTAATACATGCAATACCAATGCTCCTGAGAAGGATCTATATTCAAGGTAATGAGGTTTCTGCTAGCTCCTTCATATTATATAAGGGTAAGTGGCCTGTCTCAGACAGTCTACAGTACTTATATCAAAGTTTTAAAATGGATAGTGTTATTGGTGAAATTATTAAGGCCACTCCACGTAGTTAAAAGGGAGGTTTATTTTGTGGGGTAACTTACAAGTGAAGGAATAGTTTACAGGGTCTGGAAAAGGTGTGGCGCAGTCCGGCGGTGTTCTCTGGAGAACTCTGCTCAGTCTACCTCCAGCATCCAGGGTCCAGGAACCAAGAGAACCAGCGCATCTGGATCTCAGGTCTTCGGGGTCCTCCCTTGGCCCCGCCTTGTAGGCTTGACAGTTACCGAAGCCTCAGTGGGGGTTGGAACTTCCAGATCAAAGCTGGAATGGCTACCCACTACATAGTGTCATGTCAAGGAGTTCAATTATTATTTTATTATCATTAGTTTATGAGTAGTATGTGTGTACATGTATGTGTGCATGTGTACACATATATACTGAGATGTTAAAGGAAGACATCGGATATCCTCTTCTTTCCTTCTCTGCTTCTGAGACAACCCCACATTGAATTTGAAGCTCAATTTTTTATTTTGCCAAGATTAGTCGCCAGCAAGTTTCAGCCATTCTCCTGTCTTCACACTCCTGACCTGCAGCACAGATGGTATTACATATGCATTTGGTCATACTCAGTGGTTCAATGGGTGCCAGAGATCTAAACTCAGGTTTTGGTGCTAGTGCAGCAAATATTCTCACACACTGAACCATCTCCCCAGGCTAAAAAGTGTTATTCAGAACTGAACACCCTAAGGTCAACTAGAAATTGCTTCATTTGTAGTCATTTTACATAAAACGCAGACGCTCACTACCTATTATATGCACTGCATATACATTAGGTATTTGTGTACACATACGTATTACAAAGATACATTTGCTTATATATAAACAAATATATATGAAACATATCTATACACACACATATATTTATATACCTCTGTTTTATGTATATGTGAAAAATTAACAAATGATTGAAACCCTGTCAGTGAGCATATATTTATGCTTCTGAGATACATTCTCCCCACCTATATTTGGCTATGTGGATGCTGCTGGGTTA